GTTTGGCCTGGCCTGATTTTTGTTTTTTTTTTGGTTTTTTTTTTTTTTTTGGGGGGGTGCATCCTGGGAACAGAACCCAGGGGCTTCACATTGAGCTACACCCCCCAACCAGTTTTGTTTTGAAACAGCCTGCCAAGTGGCCCAGGCTCAGCCCAAACTTGAGATCCTCCTGCCTCAGTCTCCAGAAGTGCTGGGATTGCAGATGACCTAGCGTGGTGCCTGGAGCGAGGGACAGCTGAAGGAATCTTAACAGCTATGCTATCCTGGAGAGGTTAGCTGCTCAGCGAGCCCAGTCTAGTCTCTGGTAAAAATAAAAAGGGGTGCAGCAGGTCCCCAGCGTGTGTGGGCCTGGATTCAGGCTTCGAGCCCCTGCAGAGTCTCCTACTGCCCTGTGGGCAGAGTCTCAGACACGATCCAGCGTTCACTCTGCGCCCCACAGGCACTAGACAGTAGAGGTGTCTTGGCTTAGGTTGGCACAACAATGGCACCACCCTTCGTGGAGTCCCTAGCGTGGTAGTCGCCCTCGCTGGGGCCACTTACTAAGAGAACAGGTTATGAGCTCTGTCCTGCCTCAGTTTCCCTGTGGCTTGGCAGCACTTGGCCCTGCGAGCCAGGGGCAGGTGGAAGGGACTGGGCACAGGGAGAGCCGGGCATCAGCCCATGCCTGGAGGTGGCACCACAGCCCTCCCCACAGAGGCACCACCTCCTCCACAGTGCCACCTCAGATTTCTCAGGTGCAATCTTCCAGTCAGGGCCTCTGGACTCCACTCCTGCCTCATTGTCCCCGAAGCAGCCTTGGAGGGCAGTCTGGTCCACTTTATTTGAGGTTCCTGGGGGTCCATCCATCCAGTTGACACGTGGAAGAGGGGTGGCAGTGCCCTCCTGTCCCTCTGCTCCCACCACACCACGCCCCTGCCTCTGTATCCTCATCTGTGAAAAGGCAGCGTGAATGATGATGGGGAAGGTCTCATCCGGCTTCACCAGCACTTGGGAGGCTGAGGTAGGAGGGCCACTGGCCATTTGAAGGTAGCCTGGGCCACATAGTGACACTCTGTGTCAGAAAAAGAATAAAAATTACTCTTGGTGCAATGGACATTTGTCTTGACACCTAGTAAGTGCACTAAAGGCTTAAAATAAAGATAGAGCCCATTGACCAAGAGCCTCCTGCCAGGGGCTGGGGACAAGATTGGACTGGTCTTATGAAGGGCCGGCCAGATAGGTCAGGGGACTAATGCGCCTGCTTAGGCAGAGCACAGCCACCGGCCCCGCCCCCAGGGAACCCTGAGAAGGTGCTTGGGGGGCTGAAAACAGGAGAATCACTATGATTCTGAGCTGTGTAGTGAGACCCTGCAGACCCTGTACCAAATACATTTAAAAAAAAAAAAAAAAGATTGGAGTGGTCCACGTGGTGCCCTCCCACCCCCCAAGCTGTAGGAGGAGCTGTGATCTAAGGGCCAGTGGAGGGGCGTGCTGTCGTACCCTGCCCCCGGTGGACCTGGCCCAGGGCCCAGGGTGCCACCTGCCTGCTCCGGGCCAAGGCCACACCCACAGTGAGGTGCGAGTAACAGCCCTTCCCAGGTGCGCTGCTTGTGCAGGTCTCTCTAGAGCTGCGTCTGCCCCTGGGACGGTGCAGACCCGGGGGGAATCCTGGGCCCCGAGGTCAGGGACACGCAAAAGCAAGACCCAGGTGGGGCTGAGCGACACAGAGAGGTGCTGCAAAAGGCCTCGTGCCATTTCCCAGGAGGCGGCACCCAGCAAACCCACAATTTTCAAGTTGCAGATGTCATCAGGAAAACTTTCCCTTTAAAGTCGTGCTCACCAGGTGTGGTGGCACATGCCTGTCATCACGGCCTTCGGGATTGCTGAGTGAGGCCGGCCTGAACCACACAATGAGACCATGTCTCAAAAAAAAGGAAAGTGACTGTGTCCAGGTCATACACGTCACCTCCTCGGTAAGGAGGGGGGATTGGAGGGGTGCAGCCACCCTAGACCCCAGGGCTAGGATGGGGTGTCTCAGACTCCCCGTGCCTGGTAGCGTCTCCCTGCCCTGCCCTGCCCTGCCCTGCCCTGCCCTGCCCACCATCACAGTGCAGTGTCCTTTCTTCCCCGCCCTCCCCTGGGGTAAGCGCAATGGTCACTGCTGGAGTGTGGGTGATGCCCGGTGTGGCAGAGGGGCCACTCCAACCTGTGTACTGCCCCCTCAGACCCAGGCCCGGGCCCAGCGCACACCCAGCCTAGGACTCGTGGGACAGCTTTTCAAAGCTTTCCAAAAGATGGCCCTGCAGTGCAGCACAGAGAATGTGACATCTGCCCACTTCTGAGTCCCCACCTCTGACACCGACAGTGAACTTGCCAAGCCTTTCAAGCCTGCCACAGTCCACTTTCAGAACACTTTTATCACCCAGATTTAGCCATTTACCATTAAATCCTGTCACCACCTGACAACAGCTCCTTCAAACACTTAACAGGGTAAGTACTTTTGCACAGTAAAAAAGCATGACTTTTTTTTTTTTTTTCTTCAAAATACGGCTTTACTATGCAGCTCGGCTGATCTTGAACTCACTCCGTAGCCTAGACTCGGCTTGAACGTGAGGCAAACGCTGGCCACCCCAGTGCTCTGAAGGCTGAGCCAGGAGGACTGCAAATTCCAGGCTAGCCTGGACTGTGTTGTGAGCCCCTGTCTCAAAATAAGCAAAGCACAGGGGAGGAGAGGGGTGGCTGGGGGTGTGGCTTGGTGCCAAAGTTAAAGCCCCAGCACTGTGAAAAGAAAAAGGCAAAGAATGAGGGGGCGGCACAGGAGTCTACAAAGGGAAAAATAAAACATTTTGAAATCTGTAAGCCCATGAGCTCTGAGAACCTGTTACTAACTGTATGAGTAGTTTTCAAATACTTTGAGGTTCTGGGGATCACACCCAGGAGCTCTCCGCTGAGTGCTCCTGGCCTCTCTCCCCACTTTCCTGTGGTCCAGGGCTTGGGCTCAGGCCTTCCCACAAGCTCTGTCCCCAGCCTTTTTCACTTTATTCTTTATTTTGAGCCAGCCTCGCTCCGTGGCCACAGCTGGGCTGTAGAGACCTTGCCTCCGGCTCTCCGGTGCTGCTGACAGTCCTGCACGCCTGCGCCCTCCTGGCTCACTGCTTCTTCCTTCCATCCCCGATTGGTGATGGGGTTCCAGTGTCTGTCTGTCCGTGCTGAGGATCCGGCCTGGCCTTCACGCTGGGCAAAGGCTACGCTCAGAGGGCTTTTGTGGGCTTCTGTCGCAGGGCGCCACATTGCTGACCCTGCTGTCCCTGAGCTGGCTGATGCAGGAGGTGGGCAGAGAAGCAGCCCAGGCCCAAAGTCTCAGGAGAGGGGCCAGGAGACTCACCACCGTCCCATCCACCCACCCCTGCGGCGGCCAGCCCGGTCCTCGGGTTTCTGCAGGAGGCTGAGACGCAGGCTGCAGCTACCTGCAACCAGCGCCAGTCCCCTGCTTGACCCAGCCAGCCCTGGGGACCGACTGGGACAGGCTGGGGGCACCGTGGGCGAGGGCTGCAGTCCTGTCCCTAGAGCCCGCGATGACTCAGCCAGCCGCCCGCCCCACCAAGGGAGGGGACCCGGCCAGGGGGGTGGCTCTCCAGCCTGGCCCAGCCTGATGGCGTCAGTGCCTCCGACATCTGCAGTGCGTGAGGCTGGCGTCCTCGTCCTGGGGGGGCTGGTGACGTGCCAACGGACAGCTGAGTCTCATGAATGATTCACCTTGCCCGCGTCACTGACAGGCTGATGCAGAGCCTCTGGAGAGGGGGAGGGGCAGCCACGTGCCCCGCCCAGGCAGCAGGCAGGCTGCGTCCTGCACCCTCACGCGCCCTCAACCTCACTCACACGGGTGCAGGACCTGTCGGCATCCGCGCTGTATGCTGCACTCCTGAGAATTAAGCACAGCGAAGTCTCTGCTTGTTTGGGCCAGCTGCGGGAGGCCGGTGACACCACAGGTCTGGTGAAACCAGGAATGCTTCCACCCCCGGGAAACCGGAAGGAAGAGGCCAAATTCTGTTCCCAGAAGAAGCAACTCTGCAGCTGCGCTCCTGAGTCCCTGCAGCAGAGCCCACGCCTTCTTAACAACTGCAGGTGTTCAAGACTCCCCAGCTCCTCCAGACTCACTAAGACATTCAGTCAGCGTTAGCTCGGCATCTAGGGAGCTGGCTCCCAAGGAGAGAAGGCACAGTTTTGCTGGAATGAGTGGCGTCCCTGGGTGGGGTGCAAGGGACTTCGAGATCAAAGGGCCATGGCAGAGCTAAGTTGCAGGGAGGTGACCCCAAAGCGGGGAGCTGAGGAAGCCAAATCTGGGAGGCAATCAGGGAAGGCTTCCTGGAGGCAGCAAAGGACCAGGGGCTTGGGGAAGATTGCAAGTGGAGAGGCAATGGTGCTGAGGGCAGGTGAACCAGAGACAAGGGCCGGGTGTTTTGGGTCATCTCCGGGGACCAGGGAGGAGGGTGGGTCAATGGAGGCCCTTGCACATGCTGGGAAGAACTTGGATGGTTGCCACAGAGGTGGACCACAGTACTTCACACAGAAGCTTGTAGGTCTGAATACTGGTATGCAGTACCTGGGGATTGGGACGACTGCATAGGCACAGCTGCTTGGAACACCTCCAGGGGACTTGTGACCCCGTGCCTCAGGTCCTTGTGTAGGGGCGTGGGTGTCCGCAGGTGCTGGAAGGCCTCGGGGCTGGGGTACGGGGCTCACCCGGGCTCTTGCCCAAGCACCTGGGGACGGGCCTGCACCGCCGGGTGAGAGTGCAGAAAGGCCAGGACGTTGCATTTGGAGACCTCAGCCCCTCTACAGATGACGCCACTGGGGCCAGGTTGCCGCCCAGCAGGGAGCTTTGCCTAGTGTGCGCAAGACTCAGGGTTCAGATCCCAGCACTGCACAAGAAAAGCTAACTGCATACATTAGGCATGCCTGTAATCCTGGCACTCGGGAGGCTGTGGCAGGAGGATAGCTGCGAGCTTGGGGCCAGTCCGGACTGCACAGCAAGGTCCTGCCTCAAAACAACAAAAGAGAAGCGGTGGGCCGGACCCGGTGCTGCGGGATGATCGGGTGCAGGCGGCGCTGGAGAATTCGCCTGCGAGATGAGCGAGAGCCGCAGAATCAGCGAGCAGGGTGAGGACTGAGACAACAGCCCGGGTCCTTGGAGGAGCGCGCCTTGGTGGCAGCGCCCGGGGGGAGGGGGACCAAGAATTGTTCCGCTACACTCAAGCAAGCACCGGAGGGCGACCTAGCGCGCACGCGCCTCCCCTTTAAGCTGGGCCGGAAGTCGGAGGGCGAGAAACCCGTCTTGCTCCTTAAGGAGGCGGAGCCTCCGGTGGCGGCGACTTCGAACCGGCTCGTCTAGCGGGGTCGACCGGGCCCACGTCTCCATGGTAACGGGCACCGGGCGGGAGGGGCGGGTCAAGGAGGCGGCGGGGGGGGGGGACCGCCGAGCGTCCACGGGCCTCACTTTTTTCTTCCGCTCGGGCTCGGTCCCTGATCGGCGGCGGGCGGCCTGGACGGGTTTGGGGTCGGAGCTTGTGTGCCAAATGCTTGTCCGCGGGAGGCCGAGGCAGGAGGGTTGCCGTGAGCTTCAGCCTTCCTAGGCTAGGGAACCAGACCCTGTCTCAAAAAAAGAAACAGGAAAAAGGAAACTTACACAACTTAAAGATGGAAGTGCCCGAAGAGGAAAACGTTAGCGAAAGTAACAAAGCAGAAGGAAAGCGCCACAAAACCCCCGAACGAGTAGCTGCAACTGTTTTGTGTGTCTGCGTGGAAGATTTCATGCTTGAAAGGTCAAATTCTGTAATAAAAACGGTCTCACTACCTAGTCCAGGTTGGCCTTGAACTCACCATGCACCCCAGGTTACGGGTAGTGATCCTTCTGCCTTGGCCTCCTGCGTGCAGGGTTTATAGGTGGCCAGCGCCAGACCTGGCTGGGTTTTTTCTTCTTTTTAAACTCTTTTCTTTAAGTGCTTGGCAAGTGCTGGGGCCTGAGGTCCCACCAAAAAAAAAAACAACAACCCACTTTCTTGTGGGATGCATGCTTTTAATCCCAGCACTCAGGAGGTTGAGGGAGGAGAATTGCTGAGAGACTAGCGTAGGCTACGCAAAGTGAGCTCAAGGCCAGAATTGCATAGCAAGACCCATTCTCAAAAAACAAGCAAACAAAAAACAGGCGGGCGTGGTGACACATGCCTATGATCCCAGCATTTGGGAGGCAGAGGCAGGAGGATCATCCCACCTGGGCTACAAGAATGAGTTCAAGGCCAGCCTGAGCTGTGTCGCAAGACCCTGTCTCAAGAAGACAAAAGAATAAAAGAAAAAAAAAAAAGTGAGATAGCTCATCAGACTGAAGTGCCTGCTTAGGCAAGCTTAGGCAAGCGCAGGGGCTGAGGTTGGATCCAGGCACTGCATGCCTTGTCAGCCCTGCCCCAGGCGTGGTGGCACATGCCTGTAATCCCAGCATGGGGGAGGCTGAAAACAAGAGGATCACCATGAGTCTGAGCAGCGTAGTAAGACCCTGCCACAAACACATTAAAAAAAAGAAGAAAGAAAGAAAGAAAAGGTAAAAAAAAAAAAAAAAAGATAAAAATAGGGCTGTGGATAGAGCTCACTGGCACAGCCCCTGCCTGGCAAATGTGAGCTCTTGGTACCAAAAAAAAAGGCAACCACAAGAGCTTTTCTTTCTGGGTCTCATGTTACCTGTAAAGTGGTTACAGTAGTGGTTAAGTTCAAAATCTGGACTCAAATCTGAAAGGAAGACGTGGAAGTCATCTGGTCTTCCAGCAGAGGCTGTCTCCTCCCTGCCCTTCTGCAGCACCAGCGCCACCCCCCACCCGCCCCCTCCGGGCCGGAGGGCAGCCAGGCAGCCTCAGCCCTGTCCGCTGCTCGCCACGGGGCCTGCAGCCCCTGGACCCTGTTCTCTGTGGATGAGGAGTTCGAGGATGAGGTGAGAGGGTGTACGGAGGCTGCGTCTCGGCAGAGGCAGGCTGACACTGGGGCCCGCCGCCAGCCCTCTGCTGCTCGATGTGGACCCCGCCCCCCAACAGCTGTGGGGGGCTCCAGAGTCAGCCTGGTCCCGAAAGCAGTGCACAGCCGGAGTCAGCCTGCCCATCCCCAGCAGCCGGGCACCGGTCACATGTCACCCGGTGAGGGCCCTGTCCTGGGCTGGGCAGGGCCGTGATTGCATTTGCTGTCCTCAGAGGCCAGGACAGCAGGGGACAGCATGTTCCTGGGCAGCCTGCGACCTGGGATCACAGCCCACACCCAGGCTTCCACTGTCTCTTGCGCGCAAGGAAGGGTGCTCACTGCCACTTGCCATTTTAATCAGAATTTCAGTGACTCACACTTGTCAGCCCAGCTCAGGGGAGGCTGAGGCAGGAGGATCCCAGCGAGATCAAGGCCAGCCTAAGCGATACAGTGAGACTGAGAAAACACACCAAAGGGTTTCTGGGCCAGCAGGAGTGTTTCCGAAGGGCACTACTGGGCCTAGGAACCAGCACACCTGTCTGGGTTGCCTGGTCCTCAGGCTGTTCCTGCACTGTGGGGAGGTGACCATGTAGCCTCTACAGGGACCCAGCATTGCCTTCCATGTGTCCCCAGAGGAGTCATCAGGTCATTCAGATGTGCAGCATGGGACAGGTGCTGGCCCAGCTCAGTGAGGTCTGCACGTGGGGTCACTGTGCCTCATCCCTAGCAGGAGCGATGGTGGCACGCGATGGGACACAGCAGGAGGGGATGGGCGATACCTGGACAGCTGGTCAGCATGGCCCCTTTCTGCTGTCACGCGGGGCTGCTGTTAATGTCCACAAAGATTCAGAGCTGCCTGCCCTGCCCACAGCTACCTTCAGCTTCGGCACCTTGCCAAGAAGGGGGAACATCACTCCTTGGGCCTCACCAGGCAGGCTGGGACAGCGAGGGTGGAGCAGAATGTGAAGGAAGGACTTTTATTTTATTTTTAAGGACTCTTATTTTTATTTTCTGGTGGTTTTTTTTTTTTTTTTTTTTTTTTTTTTTTTGAAACCAGGGATTGATATTTTCTGGTTTTTGATGGTTTCTTTTAGCCCAGCTTGGGCTTGAGATCACAACGATCCTCCTGCCTCAGCCTCCCAAGTGCTGCAAGATAGTGTTCCCATGCCGAGCTTGATGTTTCAGAGCTCTGCTGTGTGACGGTGGCCAGCCAGCCCTGGCCCTCCCCAGGCCAGGACACATGTCCTCCAGGAGCTCTCGAGAGCTGGCCCTTGACCTCCTTTGTGGGGTTTGCTGCTTCTGCAGCCCCGTTCCTCGAGAGTACTGACTGAGCTCATCGGAACAGGGTGGCCCCACTCCCTCAAGTCACAAGGGCAAGCAGTGGGACTGGTGTCGCCTTCTCTCCCCCAAAGCGCATCTGATGCAGCTCAGAGCAGCTGTGTTCAGCTTTGGGGTTTCTACGGCTTTTGGCACGCTGCAGGCAGGGGCTAGGGAAGGGCGGCGGCGGTGGGGTGGGGTACGGTGTTGGTGACCCTGCAGACCCCTTAGTAGCCCAGGACATTTGCTTTTCCAGCTGTTCCTTCCATTAAAAAGGGAGAAGCTGCTGGTGCCTTGGCCTTTCTGAGAGGGTGGGTGTAGTGGCACGTGCCTCTGATCCCTGCACTCAGGAGGCTGAGGCAGGGCGATTGCTGCAGGTCCAAGGCCACACCGGGCTATGTAGTGACACCCTGCCTCAAACACGAAACAAAAACCAACTTGGTGTTTCTGATGGGACCTGGCGGAGACTCACCCTGGGACAATGAGGCCACACCTGGCTTTGGTGCCTGCTCCATGTGTCTGCACGCGTGGGCCGGGCCTGCGTGGTGGGGGTGGGCTGCTGCGTCAGTTTCCAGACTTCGAGACTGCCTCTGTCTCCCTCAGGATTTCTTGTCTGCCGTGGAGGATGCCGAAAACCAGCTTGCTGGCGCAGAAGGGCGCCTGGCCTGTGCGTCCTCCGGCCTGTGCCCACGGAGCCCAAGCCCACCAGCCCTGCGCCCCGCGGCTGCTTCGGTGGCACAGTGCCCACCTGCCTTGGGACTTTGCCGCACTGTCCCCAGGGTTCCCAGTGCCCCCAGCGACCCCCAGAGGCTGTGCCTGACTTCTAGCAACTGGGCAGGTGGCCAGAGGACACATGGGGCCTGGGGGGGACCAGCCCAGGGCGATCTGGATGAGGTCCTGGCCAGCCTGGAGCTGGAGCTCGGGGCTGACGCCAGGGGCCCCGCTCCAGCTAAAAGGGCCCGCATCCTGGGATTGAGTGGGCTGATCTCAGGCCCTGCTGCTGCACCGGCCCCCCTGGCGCCCCCAGCACCCAGTGGGCCCCCCAGGATACCACGTCCACTCTTGAGGCCTGGTGTCACCCGTGCAGATGCCACCCTGCCAGGGCACCTTCCCCAGCCGCTCAGCCCCTTGGGGACCCCCAGCCATGGCTGCACCCGGCCTCCTCCCCGTACCTGTGCAGGTGCTGGCCTGTACCCTGCCGCCCCCAGGGCAGGCCCAGCAGCTTCCTGTAGGGCAGCCCTGCCACCCTGCACTCCTGTATCCTCACCCATCAACACCCCGAGAGGGACCCGCTCCTCACTGCAGATACCAGTTGTCACCAACCACCTGGTCCAGCTGGTCACTGCCACCACCCGGGTCCCAGCCTGTTCCCGCACACGCCGCTTCCCCGGCCCAGCCGGGCTCCTGCCACAGCAGGTGAGATGGTAAGGGGTGACCACCAGAGTCTTCCAGGGCCAAGGATGAGGGGGGCAGACTCCGGCACCATGGAAGAAGAGCACAAACACCAAGGCCCTGTGGTCCTTCCAGGAGGCGGGCTCAGCCCCAGCACTGCGGAGGGAGGAAGGGAGGAAATTAGTTTAAAATGTGGGCAGGCAGCAGGCAGAACACCCCTCAAGCAGCGCATGTGGCTGGGATGCCTGGCACTGTGCTGAGGGGACCTCACTCCCGCTGCTGAGGAGCCTGCCATCCTGGGCTCAGGCTCGGCACGGCCAGAGCAGGTGTGAGCCAGGGCCGGGCACAGGGCACCGCGTGAGCAGGGCTAGCTCGGGCCGCCCTGCCTGGGGCTCAGGCGGGTGAGTAGGGAGGGGACAGGTGATCAGAGGGGCTTTCCTGGGAAGGACAGAGAGGACTAAGTCGGGTCCGGCCTGGCGGAGGAGGCCGGACTGTGGTGGTAGCTTTCATCTTGCCTTGATTTTTGGCATTGAGCCCAGGACCTTCCACTGAACTATGTCCCCAGCCTGTTTGTATTTTTTCAGACTGGGTCTCACCAAATGGCTCAGTTCCCCGCATGACTTGAACTTGGGATCCTCCTGCCTCAGCCTCCTGAGTGCTGGGTTACAGGCATACGCCAGCGTGCCCACTCTCCCTGCCATCTGAGGGCCTCTTTCCAGCCCGCAGCAATCAGGGCTGAGCCAGTCTGGCCTTCGGCTGCACGCTAGCCCTGCTCTGCAGCCCAGCTCCCACGCATGCCCACCGTCTTCCCCACCGGGAGCTGTTGGGGTGCCCTGGTCCCTGGAGTCTCCTGAGCACCTCCTCCCCACAGCATGGTGAGAGGAATCCTGAGGAGATCATGGTTTCCACGCCGCAGACCCCGGCCCACGGTGCACGGGCCAAGCTCCGCACAGAGGTGACTGGACTGTCGAACAGCCCTGGGGGGTGGCATCCCTGACCTTCCTGCATAGCACTGCGGGGCTGTGCCGCTGGGTGCCTGGCCTGGTGGCTGGGGCAGGGCGAGATGACAGCCGAGAAAGGAAGGGTGTGTTACGCTAGGGGATCTCGTTAGACCAGGGTGGTGCACACAGCTGTGATCCCAGCGCGGGAGGGTCGCAAGTTCAAGGCCAGCCTGGACTGCACAGTGAGACCCTGCCTCAAACACAAAGGGCTGGGGATGTAGCTCAGGGCCACAGCGTCTGCCTGGCAAGCACGAGTTCTGAGTTCAATTGCGGTACCAAAAAAAAAAAAAATCAAGCACACATGAAGCAACGAGATCGTATCTGGGGCTTTCCTTTTGCCTTCCTGGGTAGGAGGCGGCCCTCACCCGGCCTCAGTGGTCCCTTTAGGACTGCGACACTGATTCCCTCCTCTGCCCTCACAGCCTGTAGTCCTCTTTCTTCCCACACTCCTGTGCATTTGTGACAAGCAGGTCAGAGCCTGTGGGGTGCAGCAGGTGCTGACCAGGTGGGCGGTGGGCAGCGCCATGGCGGGGGGACCCATGCCGTTTTCTGCGGGGCAGGCTACCGTCACCAGCTCTCAGGCACCGGCAGCGGAGGACTTCGGGCATGGGCCCTGGCTGGCCATGAAGGCGGCCCTGGGCCTGGACGACAGTGACCCTGCGTGCTTCCTGCACACCTGCAGTGTGGCCATGGTGCTGCGGAAGGTGAGGGCCCTGTCCCTCTGGCCCGGTAGGCAGCCAGAGTCCACAGTCTTACGCCCTCCCGGAGTGCCCAGGCCGTGGCCTGTGTCCCAGGTTGCCCAGCTTCCTGTCGCCGAGGAGGTGGGCGCCAGCACCTAGCCGCAGTCCCTGTGCCAGGCCCAGGGTGGCAGCGCTTTCCCACAGGCAGCCCTGAAGCAGCTCCCCGGGAACAAGGTGCCCACCATGGCAGTGCTGGTCAAGTCCCTGACTCACAGCACCGTGGACGCCAGCGTGGTTCTCAGAGACCCCACAGGTGAGGCCCCTGCGGATGGAGCAGCAGGTGCTGCCGCTGGGCCACGGAGCACACGGTCGGGGCTGACAGCCGCATGACGTTGCAGGGGAGATGCGGGGGACCGTGCACCGGGCGCTGCTGGAGGCGCGGCGGGGCGAGCTGAGGCCGGGCGCTGTGCTGCTGCTACAGCAGGTAGAGGCCACTGTGCCACCGGCCTGTGCCTTGGCAAGCCGCACAGGGCTCTTACGGCTGCATGGCAGGGGCTGTGCCTGGGTTGAGGAGGGGCCAGAGTGGGACACTGGTGCCCTGGGTGGCCCCATCAGACACCACCACCCCGCTTGCAGGTTGGGGTGTTCTCCCCATCCCTCCGAAGCCACTACCTCAACGTGACACCCAGCAACCTGATCCATATCTACAGCCCGGACTCCAGGGACAGGGACCTGCTTGGCCCACAGGAGCCCATCCCTGAGGTGAGGGGCAGGGTAGGGAGGGACAGGCACTGGGAGGAGGGCCTCAGCCGGTCTGCTGCCCATGCCGCAGGAAGGGACAGCCTGGACTTTGAGAGGTGACCATGAGGTGGCAGAGGGTGACCCAGATCAGACCTGCTGAGGTGTCTGTGGATGGCCATGACACCATGGTCCTCGCCTCTGCTGGCAGGAAAGGGTCCTAACCCCCGGGAGGTGGGGACAAACAGGTTCTGTCCCCAGGTCTGCCTGGCCAGAGGGCCTCACTGCACCCACTGTGACCTGGGCTGAGCCTTGTCCTCACACCCGCAGGACGAGCTTGTCTGACCTGGTGACTGGGGACAGCACTAGGCTGCCTGCCCCTCCTCCTTCCGGCCACTCGCCCAGGACTGAGCTTTGCTGTGGCTTTCTCTCCTTTTTTTTTGGGGGGGGGGGCACTTGGCCCTGGCACTGAATCATGCCCTTTTTATCTTCTTTTGTTCTGAGCATCTCACCAGTCACAGCCTGCCCAGGCACCGGGGAGCTCCACGGGGACCTGTAGGCTGGAGTCTGTGACCTGGCCTGGCGCCCCTGTCCTCTCCTGTTCCACTCGGTGCCCGGTCCTCTGCCCCCAGGGCCCAGGAAGTCCCCAGGGAAGACTCCAGCTGGATGTGGCTTTGCAGCCCGGGCGGGGCCTGGGGCTCATGGCCCCTGAGGAGGAGGCCCTGGACACAGGTGAGGACCTAGCGCTGCAGTAGGGATCCTTTTCCTCTTGGTCCTGCAAGCCTGGGGCGCACCGCATCCCAGCCGTTCATACTTCGGTCTTGTCTTGAGGTAGCCTGCTCCATCACTGGGCTGGGCTCAGCTTTGCTGTCCTCCAGCCTCAGCCTCCTGAGTACAGGGCAACAGGTGGGTGCCCACACTGCCTCGCCCCAGACTGACGCTTCCTCCTGGGCCATGGAGTGGCGCAGCCCCTGGAGTGAGCTTAGGCCATGACAGGCTCTGGACCTCCCTGATCTGCCAAGAAGTGGGGCTTCTCTGGGCGTGAGGCTGTGTCCTAAGCGGAGCCTGAGCCTGCGCGCTGTTCTTGGGGCTGTCAGAGGCTGCGCCCTCGCCGGGCTGCGGGGTCAGCACACTGGCACCTTGGTTTCTGGCTGTTGGATGCCAGGTCTTGCTGAGCAGCTCAGGCAACCTCAGAGTTGCAGAAATCCTTCTGCCTCGGCCTCCCAGCTTCAGTGCTGCCATTGACCATGGGGTCTGTTTTGGGGCTCCTGTTGTCCCCACCCCTAGCTGTTCCTGAACATGGTGTCTGGGTCTCCCCAGGGGCCCTGTGCCCCCCACCAGGCACTGTGCCTCTGAATAGAAAGAAGAAGAGATCCTCTTGCTCTTGGGAGAGACTGAGGCGAGGGCAGCCTCAGGCCATTGGCCTGGGCCACCCAGTGCTCTAGTGCTGTCCCCACCCTGTCCCCACAGATGACCTGGACGGACTCCTGATGGAGCTGCCTGAGGACTTGTTCAGTGACAGCTGCAGTTCAGACCACCCTACAGCAGGACCACTGTGAGCAGCCGCCCGTGTCTGCACCTGAGCAACATCCGGGAGGCCCAGCGTGGGAGAAGGCAGCCAAGACGGAGCCAGGCCCAGCGCACTCTGCTGGGCCCTGACTGAATCAGTCTTCTCAGACCGTGTACTGGGGCCTTAGCTTCCAGGGCACTGGCATACCAGCCCTTGGCCAAGCCCAGTCCGGCCCTGCCCCTGCCCTGGCACCGCCTCTCCTGCCCACCAGATGCCCCTGCCCCTTGAGGGACACAAGAGGCTGGCACCTGTGTTCTTGTCCCTTCCCAGCACTACAGCCGCACAGGGGGACCCAGGGCCACATTCTGCCCTGGTCCAAACTTAAATAAAGCTCTGAGACAGCTCAGTAGGCTAAGCACAGCACAATGCAACTGTCTGTGTCACTTGTTTCTTTTTTTTTTTTTTTTTTTTTTTAAAGATTTATTTATTCATTCATTCATTCATTTATTTTGTGTGTGGCCAGCTCTGCCCACCAGGGGGCGGGGCTGGCTGGCATGTGGCGCTGGGGGATTGAACCGCGGTCCCTGTGCTCCGCCTAGCCTAGCTTGTTCCAAGTAGGTGCTCCAGACCACTGAGCCATCTCACCAGCCCTGTGTCACTTGTTTCTGAGGATGCAGGGACAGCAGTGCCGAGAGGATCTCTCGGCGGGCACTGCACGCCCAGCTCGCGTCTCACCTGTGGCACGCTGCTCACCATCGACCACACTATGCTGAAGGCCAGAGGTCCACCCAGGACCCAGGGCAGTGTGACCTTGGTCCCTCAGTGGGGCAGGACTGCCCCAGGCCAGGATACCTGGGGTCTCCATCCCTCATCTCAGGCCTCAGACTCAGCTGCTGCTGGCGCCAGTGTGGATGAAGCCTGTGCTGTCAGCCTCAGGCTGAAGCCGTGTTCCTCTTGCCTGGTGACTCTGGGACAGCAGCAAGCACAGGGCAGAGATGCCCACGCAGTCACTAGCCTTGCTTGCTCCCCCGCACCTGGGGACATGGCTGCGGTGCCCCCCCCCCAGCTGGCAGCTTCTCTGCAGCTGCCATGGGAACAGCTTGGTCTCCTCCCCACACACAGACAGCAGCCCCAGGCCTTCCCCATGGCCCCCTGCGGGCCCTGTGCTCAGTCCCTGCCACCTGGTGTCCGCTTAGCTCCCACCTGACAAAGGTAGGGCTGGCAGAACCTGGCACCTGCCACCTGCAGGTAGCAAATGAACGTCTCCCTGGCAGGGACTGAGGATCCTGTGATGGGGCAGGAACCCTGGGGTTGCTGAGCGACACCTGTCCCCAGCAGCTGACCTTGGGGTGGACTCGGGGACGTGACCCCCAAGTCCTGCGGTGGCAAGCCGGGGTGGGTGGCGGGGACTGCGGGCAGGAAGCCACCAGGTGCGGCCCAGAGCAGGTTCCTGCAGCTGATGCAGGGTTAGGGCCTGAGCACAGTGGCAGTGACCTTGTCCCCTGAGGCTCTGGGCCTGCAGGTAGATGAGGGCCTATGTGCAGCCACTGCGCTTGTCACCTCAGCGTCTGCCACCTTCCCCGTGCCAAGCTGAGAGGCCTGGCCCTGCCCCGGTCGGAGCCTGCACGGTGCTTACCCAGCAGCTGGCCTATTTATAGCTTCAGCTGCCCCAGGGCTCCCTGCTGGGCCAGTGGGCACAGCTCAGCCGGCCCCAGGGCCATGGCCGCACAGAGCTTCCCCTTCACAGCCACAGCCCCGTGTGGCCTCCGCCTGCAGCGGGAGTGGCTGGAGTGGGAGGACCGACGGCGGGCAGCAGCCCATCGCTGCTGCAGACACAGGGGCTCTACCGAGGCCCGGGCTTGGCGTGCCAGGCCCCGCCGCCGCCGCTGCGACTCCGCCGTGCACAGTGCACTGTTTGCTGGTGACCTACAGCAGGTGCAGGTGCTGTTCCAAGATGAGGAGGCCACCAACGTGATCCCGGAGGCTGTGAGCAAGCAGCTGGCCTGGGCGGCTGAGCAAGGTAGGCACCAGCCAGGCGGGGGGGGCAGCTCGGCCATGCCCACAGCCCCTCCTCGTGGGGACAGGGTTGGGGGAGAGGGCTCTACCGCTTCTCAGCGCCAGCCTCTGCTGCCAGGGGCTCCTTGCCATCTGGCCACACCTGGATAGGGAGCCATACGCCCAGGGTTCCAGAGTAGGGTTCTTGGACCTTCCTTGGCACATGTGGTTTTAGGCAATCGTCATTTTTTCTGACACAGGCTGCTTTGTCTTTTTTTGGTGCCAGGAATCAAACTCAGGACCTTGTGCTTGCCGGGCAGGCGCTGTGCCGTTGAGCTATACCCTGGCCTGGACTGTGTTTTGTGGCCAACTGACAAACTGCCCGAAAGTGGGTGCAGTGGGGGGTGCATGCCTGCGATTTCAGCACTCTAGGGACCGAGGCGGGAGAACGGTAAGCTGGAGTCTAGCCTGGGTGCTTAGACAACTTAGCAAGACCTGATCCCAAAGAATAAAAGATCTGGAATCCGCGTGTTATGCTGCGTACCTGTAATCCCAGTACTCAGGAAGCTGGAGCTCAAGGCCAGCCTGAACTCCATAGAACAACCCTGTCTCAAAAAGACAAAAAATAAAACAAAAAGAAGACCTGGGGGCACCGGGGAGATGGCTCAGTAGAATAAGCGCTTGCCTGGTAAGTGCAAGGGCCTGAGTTCAATCCCTGGTTGTGCAAAAGAAAGAAGAAAGAAAGAAAGAAAGAAAGAAAG